GTTCTAGTAAAACTAATGCGGTCGCATTAATGTCGAAGACTGACAGAATTCTTTGTTTTGGGGACTTATTTACCGCTACAGATTTCTCATAAAATTTCGTGCAAACTTTCTCTTGGTCAGAATAACAAAGATATGGGCTCCTTACCAAAGACGATCGTAAAGACACATCCTTCAGAGTTTTTCAAAAGAGCTCGATGTTTACCTAAACTCTGTAAACCCTGAAGTTAATTGACTCAAATATTACCTTATGATTACTTCTGATACAAATTACTGACTTGTGTTACCCTTCAGTTTGAAACTGAGCATAGCGTAGACGGTACGTTTCTATAACCAGAAATGCTCTCTTACTATTCAGACTCAGATCCCAAGTAACAAATAGTACACTGACTCAACCAAACATAGTTTGTCATTTGAAGCCGTAACAGAGTTGTGGGGAGGGGGTTTCGAGAAGTCAGGGTGCAGTTGACGCTACCAACTTCTACCTTTGATTATCAGATTGTCTGATTATCACGCTTTTATCATTTTTAATTGTTTTTGATTGCTTCCATTGCTAGACGTAAGTGCATTCTATGTACCTACTGAGTCTTTTTGGCTTACTTTTCTTCATGTCCTCTCATCCAGATTCTCATACTGCTCCTCACATTGTCCAATCTCAATACGTACCCTCAGGCTAGTCGAAAACCTATCAAGGACTGAAGATAACACTTGTTTGCAAAGATGTATTGGCGACGTACTTACAAGGGAAAGAGCTGAGTCGTAGTACCATTTTATGGAATGAACAAAATTCAGTTACTTTCGATGTAGGGCCAGGAGCTATGGTTAGGAATTAACATTAAAGAACACTTTTTAGGGATGTGGGTTTCGTTTCAAATCTCAAAAGCATTTGTCAACCCGGAAAAATCAGGTGCAAGGTTATATTTGTTTCATTCACTGATAAATTCAGTCCTGAGAACTTGTTCCCTAGACATTATCTGGCTTTGATTTCGCAGGATAATTTTAAGTCACTTACTTTTGTTTCCATATCGTGGTCCTATCATTTTGACCGGATAAATCACATAGCAGGGTGCTTAAGGACTTGTGAAGAAAACGTCACATTCTTGTACGTATAAGCTTCTCTTGAATAAGTCTTAAGACGAAACTAGTACTATTAATCTGTGAACCTCTGATTTATGGTCGTGTCATTTCAAACGTCTAATTCCGGCTCGTATCATAGAATGCTCCTTTCTCTGAATGTAAAACTTGTGTATGGATAATATTAATTTCGATAGAACAATGAGAAGACGGAGTTGATCTGAAAAATGTGATGTATTTGCGCTATACATTTCGAACAATCTGGTCACACATATAATTGTCAGGGCATTTTATATGAAAATTAATAAAGGTTAATTACATGAAAGTTAAAGTACAACCAACCAAACAAAAAAAGTAACAAAGTGGAGAGAAAGAATAAGAAATTGTCGCGTTATCCTAGGCCATAGAATGACTAAAGGATTACGAAGGTAATCTCAAGGTTACGAGAAATTGTTTTTGTACACATAAGGGTGGTTTAAATTTGTGAATGGTCAAGGCTTCAATAAACTTAAGAATTCGTCCTTGATAATTTCTATACAACGTTTTAAAAGCTGTATTAATGTCATTTTTGTGCCCCGTTTCAATTATATGTTTCGCTATCGATGACCTTGGTTTTCTACCACCCACGTTGATCGGATCGTTTGACACACATTGATTTTGAAGCCATTTAGGCACATGTTCATTGACCCTTGATTGCATTGTTCGATTACTCCTCCCTATGTATGTGTGTCCACACAAACATGTAAACTGGTAAATACAATGGGATGTGACGTAATCATTAGTGCATTGTCTGGGTCTACTAGGAATCATGGCCTTAGACTTTTCAATCACAAACAATTGAGCAGCATAATAGGTATTCTCGATCGCTGCTTTCAATCTCTGTCTTAAAACTGCTGTTGGATTAGCCTCTATATGGTAAATTGATATAGACTTTTTTCTTTGGAACCGAATAAACAAGAGGTCTTGGCATTAACTGACTTTTGCACCTATTAATAAACTCTAATGAATAAACATTTGCTATTAATGTGTCAGTCAGTAACTTTTCATCTTTTTCCACCGTGTCCGATGTACAAAACCTTTGAGTCCTCTTAAAGAGACACTTAACCAAGCCTCAATTGTATTGCAATGGACAAAAAACTATGGAAATTTAAGTATTGTCCCGTCCAGGTAGGTTTCCTATACACTGACCGCCTAATAGTGCCATCATCACTCCGACTTAAAAGTATGTCTAAAAAGGCCGATTGGCCATTACTTTCTGCTTCATGTGTCATCACGATATAATCTTGAACACTATTGAGTTGATCCAATAATCGGTAAACAAAATCTTTATCACATATAATTAGAATATCGTCCATGTATCTTCTATATAGAGTTGCCTCACTAATAAGCTCGCTCGTCCTATTTTCTACATATGACATGAATACATCAGCTAAGAGAGGCCTCAAAGGGCTACCCATAGCTACACCATCAACTTGCCGAAAATATTCACCATCAAACGTGAATTGAACATTAGCAGTACATAATAAAAGTAATTCTTTCAACAATGGTAACGGAATAGGAAAAAGAAAATTTTTTAGAAATATAGTCACAAAGGAAATCCACCGTCTTTGTTAACGGTACATTCGTGAAGAGAGAGTTTACATCTAAAGAATACAAAGACTTATCTTTAATATTAATGTCCCCAAGAAGATCAATTAGTTCAAATGTATCTTTTAAAGAAAACTTACATAGTTTAATACGAATTGGGTCTAGCAATTTTACTAGCCATTTAGCTAGTTCATGTGTGGGTGAACCGCGGATGGACAAAATTGGTCGTAATGGAATATTAGGTTTATGAATTTTAGGTAATCCATGTAAATTCGGGAGAACCGAACCCGAGGGTTTTAGTAAATTAAACTCCTCAGCGTTTATGACGTTCATTTTAAGATTGAACTTCACTCTGGATTCCAATTTTCTAGCATTAATATTAGATGAAACGTCCTGCAAGAATTCACTCTGGTCACCCAGTATAGATAACATTTTTTCTTTATATTCACATTTATTGATAAAGACCGCTCCTGAACCTTTGTCAGGTCTGAGGATCACAATATCTGACCTACTTTAAAGGTTTTTTAACGCGGCGAAATGTTTAGAAGTCAAAATACTCCTTTGTCTGATTTAAGATCCGTGAAAGTAGTGGGCAAAGTCAACCAATTTTTCTTATCTAGGCTGGTTGGGACAAGAGAGTTCAACTGATTATAGAGATTTTCGAATTAAGCATCTATCGATAGATCAGAAATCTTGGTATGTGCAACGGAGAAATTAAATACGAGAGATAGGGCTTTTTTCTCAAATACAGAAAGCCTAACAGTTGGTAAATTTGATACATATTTATCAGGGTTAAATTGAAATGAATTTCCATCATTATCATCCATAAGAGATTTACTCAGCTTTTGTTCAGTAGTATAATTTGTTTTAGCTACCACTGTACTGCAAAAATTCATAAATTTAATATGACATATAAGAGAAATATTCGATAGTACGCATGATAGTTGTTAAAAACATGACACAGTGGTAGTATCAAGAAACTTCAGAAATCTTTTTTTCGTCCTCTTTGTGCACGCGAACTAGAACAATCCGAATAGAAGTAAAATGTAGTTAGTTACATCATGGCATTTGTTGATTAATAAATTTAAACATGATTCTATTTATACCGTAATATGACTTCAAGAAGAACGGTAGTTCATTTATTTTCTTAGTCTTTGGATTTACCTACGATTTCTTGATTTGTCATCGCAATTCGCTATTTGACTATTCTCTAGTGACCAACACGTACATTGACGAGCTTAAAGTACTGATATATACTTTTAACTTAACAAAACGATTATTCTGACCTTTGCTCTAGACAGAAGCTTCATTTTGATGGAGTTTTATTCTCTGAGCTGGATGGTTTGGTCGTGGAGCTTTCATCGTTCTTCTGAACGACATCATCCGCACAAACTTCAGATAGAATTAATTAAATTGCCGTCTCTGAGATAATCTAGATATGGTCTTTATATCTAATTGGAGTAAACAGTTAAAAAAGAAGAATGTATCGAGTGGTGTAAAACATGAAGACTCAGGGGATAATACAAAGTAATTAGATGAATGCTAGTGCCACGAATTCTGAACCATATCCATTAACATCTTCAAAAACTAGTTGGAGTTATGGCCTACTGATACGGCTTATTTCAATTGTTAATTATTTCATAAACCTATACCATGTCTTCACCTACGGACCACTGACCTGCTTCTATCTCAGCCAGTATCAGATATTATGAAGTAGACAGTCGTTAGACATGCGTAAAACATATTTTAACCATTTCAACCGGTAAAGGTCTATGGCTTTATCAATGAACTTTCCATTTTTACCTAGTACCTTGTTCCTAACGCTATTTATCTCGTTATTAGCTAGACGAGGTCGAGTGATTTACCGCATTATTTATCCCGTTTCGGAAAAAACCGAAGTCGATGGCACCAGAGTATACAGTCTTAATAAGTGAGGACTGTTGCTCAGCTTAATTTAGAGGATAGTTTCAGAAGGTAAAAGATAAGATTTTATGGATTCGGATCAACTCAGTGGCAAATGTGGAAGATAAGAGGTGTGATAGCGAATATGAAAAATACATTGAATAATCAAAAACTTATGTTTCAGACTCATACTGTCTGCTTGAATACAACCTCGTTAGCACTAATAAGCACTTGATGTACACAACGTTGATCACTGCTTAGTGGTCAATCAATAGCAAATAAAAATTGTAGTTACGCGTCCATACATATATATCTATAGGGAAGTAGAAATCCACTAAATCAGTGATTTGTTCTAAAATATGAAGTTTCACTAGTTTAGTTTTCAGTTTGATTATTTCCACAATTCAAAATTACCACCATCTTGCGTCTTCCTGTTTTAGGAGATTCGCGAAAATCTAACAGCTGAAGAACTTCGTAGTAAACTTCTAAATTCATCAAATCAACGTCAGTCACAATCCGATGCAAGTACAAATAACTTCGGAGTAAATGGTGAAAATAGAAATGAATGGCATATCTCCAAATTATTTGTCCTGATCGTATTTAGTATATTTGCTTTTCTTGTACAACTTGTCATGAGATTTCTAGAACCTATTTGATAAGTTATCCCTACTTAATCGGTTATTTCATGGTATAAACACATTATGTCGGCATGGTAGTGATAACGTACAATGGTGTGTGCATATTTTGTTACTTGCCTACTCTATTGTTCTTTCAACTGTGTAAAATTCATGTATAACTATCCTCAGTGATTGACTCTTGATCTAAATTTGTAATTTTTATTGTAACTATTTCTAATTTTTTCTTTATGAATTTGTCACGATGGTAAACAAGAATGCTGCGCATGTAACATATGATATACTTGTAATGTCTGTGATTTGTGAATGACTTTTTTGTGTAGTACTAATAAAAAAGCAAACAAGAAAAAATATGTATAGCTACAACAGTGTGGATTGTTTTAACTTCCAGTTTGTTGTATATTCATCACTACTGATAAGTGATATTTCTGATGTTGTATATATACTAAGCCACTTTGAAATGAACACTCTCTGTGTCTAGCTAGTTAGTTTGAACGACCGGTCTTCCAGTTGGGTTAGACCTGCTTACTAAAGCTCCTACATTATGCACCACTATTACCGGATCTGAGTGCCCGGTCTTTTGAAGAAAACACATTACAGTCGGCATCTAAGTCTTTTCTATGTTCTTATTGTGATGTTTAGCCGGAAAGCACAAATGTTTACCGACAGAAAACTAATTGAGGGGAGCTTGTTTTGACTGCAAACGGCATTTACGAGACTATGAGGTGTTTTTCCAGTTTTGTATATTAGCTGAATATATGTCAATGACCCCATTTAAATGAGGATTTCTGACAATGAAAATATTAGATTCAGGTTATAAAGCCTATAATTCGATTGAACGCACTGGAAGCTCCAACATATAGGTTGGAGGGAATATTATGGGGAACTGAGACCAATGACACTGATGAGACATGAGCTTTTGTAAACCAAACACGTGTGTATTACGTGGTATAATTATAGTTAGCATGTGATCCATCTTATCTGTTCCCGGACCTTATTTAATTACTGCCACGCCCCCTCGCTATTTCCGAATTCCATCTCCGAATGACTGCGTACCTATAATTATTATTGATAATCCTTGTTACTGCGATCCCTTTCGTCATCAATGTAAAATTGCATCATACATCCATGTTGCACTTTAAACATACATGGTTGTAAGGAGCTGATGAGAAACTACGGAAAATAATGGATCCATACTATTCTATTTCAATTGTTGTTCTGGGTTTATTAATATTCTAAACATACACGTTGGAATTCGCGGAAGGTTTTTCTCTGCGGATATTATTTTTTTATTTGAACACATAAATATTAGTACAAGAGGGCACCAAATATATGCAAGTTTTCAAGGTTGATAGACTGTAAGATGTGAGCAGTTACGATATATTCTGTTTGCAATGAATTGTTAAGAACTCGCATACAACAAATAGAATGGAAGCCAGAATTCCAAAAAAGTATGAAGCGAACCAGCAATATTACAAACGATTTAACCAACAATTTCAGAGTTTTGATATGCTGGTGTTATGTAAAGATTGTCCTCGGATTTCATACTTATGGTTATATATTAAGCAATACTATTTTCCGGCATAGAAAATGAAGCCAAACATCATTATATATATATATATATATATATATATATATATATATATATATATATATATATATATAAATATATAAATTATGTTTATATTACATACTACTAGATTGAAGTATAATGTTTATTTACAAATATCGCATCAAACTATCATCACGTGAATAGTTTTTATAACCTTTTGTGAATGAACGCGGTTTAGATTTCGAATAAATGTTTTTATTTTTTGAACGAATATTGTATTTTTGTTCTTCCTCTTCTTGAATTTCCATATTCGCATATTCCAACAATAATTTTGGGACTTTATCTAAATTACCGACAGATTCGAAAAGTTGGCATATTCCACGTGATACTGTTCTGCTTGATTGTTGTTGTTGTAACAAGGTTTCATTAATAAGTGTTATAGCCTCACCAGATTTACCCATACGACCAGTTCGTCCAATTCGATGAACATAATCATCTAATTCTGTTGGGAGACCAATATTAATAACTGCAAAAACATTGGGTATATCAATACCTCGAGCAGCAACCTAATAAATGTCAGATAAATCATATTTCTAGTAGCCCAATTACAAGCAAAATAGACGAGTCATATCAGCACCGTAACTAAGAGTAGCTAGTATATAATGAACCGTTACTTTTACTGTAGCAGAACTAGTGATATTAGCATGGTGTTTAAAACACTCATATTGAAACGGAGGTTGAAACAAGCAACTGTATGTTCAACTGACAAGCTGCTTTAAAATTAAATTATATTTCTGAAAAGGTAATAATCAAGGGCTCTTTTTCCTAAAATGCTTTTTGATTATGAAATAAGGATGTGATGTACGCTTCAAAATCCATAGTTCTCACAAAGTGTTCCTAAGTGTTAGAACTGTCAAATCAATAATGAGTGAACTTTTTTTATTTTATTTTATTTTAACACATAAGTATAGGTACAGGGAGGCACCAAATACATATGCGCCACACAAATCTCAATTGATTTGTGTGAGGGCTGTGATACTGCTCGGGTGCCCAAACCGAAGCAGGTGGTTTTCTTAGGGGGCCACACCCCGAGCCTTTGACCTGAACGTCTGACCCACAAGGCAGTGGAGCATCGTGAGGAGATGCAGTCCCATGGTAGCCGGTGACCAACGATTGGTTCATACGCCATTTGTTCCTTGAGGATACTGGAGCCCATGTACATCATTGGTTTGGGGTCTGGTTAAAGCGCCGGTAATTCGCTTTTCGTCCTCTCATTTTCGTAAACAACACCCCCGCCACGAGAAGGCAGTGAGTAGGACTTCCCTGGCAGAGGCTATATACGCATGGCCATGTGAGAGCATTTCGAGAGGGAGAGCGGACTCTCCCCACTCTCGGCCGTACCAGGGCATTTGGGTGAACTAAAAACAAACCATGATAGTAACGCGCATGTGTTGTTCAAAAATCTTTGTGATATATAGCTTAGATAAATAGACCGAGGTAACAAATTAAAATGATAATTTTAATCTCAATAATAATAATAATAATAATCGAAAAATATCAAAATCCCCATCCGTATAACTTAGTTTGCTGATTAATAATAGCTAGCTAGGAGTTAACAAGATTTAACTATCTAATAAAATTCTGAAAGTCTGTCGTGATAAAAAAATTTGTTATTAGGATCCAAATACATTAAGAATGTAACTATAGTACACTATGGTTTGCTGGTCAGATTGAACACTGACATAAGTTATCGGCGTGTTGTTCCCGTTTAGCAAAAAGTACCTTAAATCAATTAAGCTTGATGAATATGTATTACATAGAAAAATGTAGGAACTGGTGATAATGTCGAAATAAATTATAATACTACGGAAACAAAATAGAAACAGTGAAGTGATTCCTATAGATAGAGGCTTTGTAGCTAAAACATACAACGACAAATTTAAACCCCACTCTATGCAAATCAAACTAACATATTCAACAATAACAACAATCATTAATTGCATGCACTTCAGGGGAATAATATTTTTTTGGAATGCAGAAGGCGGAAAAAAAGACGTCTTACCGATGAAGCGACAAGAACATTCGCTGTTCCTTTACGGAATAGATCTAAGGATTTTGCACGAGAAGACTGAGTTTTATCACCATGAATAGAGGTAGATCTCACGCCGTTAGAATAAAGATAATTATCAATCTGATCAACTTCCCTTTTGGTATTACAGAATACAAGAACTCGACAAACACTTTCCCCACATGTATCCAAACCTGGAAACAAGATGAAAGTGATACGATATATATATATATATATATATATATATATATATATATATATATATATAAGCAGTATTTGAAGAGAAAAACTAATGTGAAAATTAACGGTTTAATAAATTATTGATACCTAAATTAAAAAATTACGAATGATTTCTTCCGTTACTAAACATCATAGGCCGTGACTGACTTGTATGATTTTAAAACGAATAAATTTATTTCAAAAAGTAATTCAATTGAAATACCTATATTTGATTACTGTAATGGTGGAAAGATTGGAAAAACGAATAAATAAGCTTAAAAGACATAATCATCATGAAGTACAAACAGTTATCAAAAAGTATAATGTATGTGACTAGGCAGTTAGTTTCTTTCATTAATACTAATAATGATTGTTAAATTGAGTACTGAAGTCTAGTACGGTACAGAATACTGAGCATATTTGCATATCTTGTTAATAACTTGCCCGCTTATTCAAGTATGTGTTTTGAAATGACTAAACGAAGTATAAGCACTTATTCAGTACTATTGAACTGAAACTATTCACCCTATACGATACACGATTCATAGGATGCATAGTCTCAAATTTTGTATGAGTGCTACGGTGACTTTATATATACTAAATTATTGCAACGATTGATTCAACATACGTCTCAATAAAAATCAAAAAACGTTAGCACTGTCCAATTACAACCAAATAAAAAGCAATAAGCATAAACGAGAGTAGAAATTTACCTGAGCTATTATGGTAGGTGGGTCAGACTAGAATGTGATTCAGTCATGTATTATATATAAGAAAGTCTACTTTATTCCCTATAACAGAGACATTTAAATTTATGTTACTTAAGATAAGCATACACATTTTCAAGTCTAGAACGTTTAAGTCCTAAAAAGGACGTGTCAATATGTTTCAAAGTTCTGAGTACCTTCATTATGAAGTTTGAAAAGGCTTGAGAAAATACTACTTGGGTCTGTTCTAGAAAAATCAACTTCTATAGATGTCAAACATACTAAACAAGTGTTAAAAAACAGTAGTGATTTACTTTTAGATTTCATTTCTAGAATTAACTGTAAAAGATGATTAGGTACAGCGGATTCAGGATTACCGACAACCATTTGGAACTGTTGATTGATTTCTTTGGGAATTATTCGTGTAAGTCGTTCAAATTCATCTTCTTTTTTATTACGAACTGCTTTTCCCCATGTAGGGACTATAGTGCCAGTATTAGATTCAGCATTGCTGAGTGTAAGAGAAATACAGTTTGAACCGCGTAGAAAATCTTTGGCTAAAAGAGTAACCTCACGTGGATATGTCGCACTGAATAATGCAGTTTGACGACAATTTCCTGTTGGTGGAGGCATTTGAAATCTCGGTGACTCTAAAATTTGACGTATTTGCTCTTCAAAACCCATATCTAGCATTCGGTCTGCCTCGTCCAGTATCAAAGATCTGAAAAGAAGCAAGTAATTGCAAACGCAATCTCGACAACAAAGTAAAGAAATTTGCAACCAAAGTATGGAAACAAATACAGATGATGGTCTAGCTTAATAGTACATAAACAAGGAGAACGACGAGATCGTTCCATAAATATCTTTCATTCTAACTATACCAATATCTACAAAAAATATGAAAAAGAGCAGGGAGAGGATTGTTGGATTGAATGATTTCAAACCAACGGAAAACAAAACCGCTTGTTTGCAAATAAATTATTATGCTATCAATAATCTTTAGTTAAACAGTTATCATAAGGTGAAGAAAACATGAGTGAATTGGCGTTGACAACAATGGGATAGAAACAAAATGTGAAGCTATATAACTGAGTAAACAGAGCTTTTAAATAAGTCATATATTTATCATGCCTTATTCACTTAGGTAGCTTACAAATCAACCTCTAAGAAAGGAAATCTAGATAAACTGAGAAATTAATGTAACATGGAGAAAGATATTATCATTAACTGTTCAAATTATTGGAAGAAATAACGAAACTGCATGTTGTAAGTACCAATAATTATTATGCTAATAACCATTGTGTCCAATCCCAGTAATTTACAATCACTAGTTACAACTTCAATGATCATCCAGTTAAGTCTAATTTCCCAGAACACAAGAACTTTTACACTATTCTAGCTGTTAGGTTTTGTTTACATAAGACTATCACCATTCATTTAAAGAAAATAACACTAAAAGCAGGAAATTGCTACGTATACGATGAATATTAGGGGAATGGATGGCATTTGATTTACGAAGCACAAAACTGAAATATGAAAGATAACCAAAACAAATTAGATGTGTATAATCTTGAAATTTAAAGGGTTAGGACAGGTTATTAGGATATTAAAGAGCAGTTTGTAAAATGTTTGGCTTTTACTTCAGTAAATGGTATATAAAGGATAACAATAAATAGAAATATATTTTATCTACCAAGTACAATTTTATGTACACCACTTTGAACTATAATGTTCGAGTTGAAAACTAGTGACACTATCCAATTTAAACGTTTGATCTCATGACTGTAAGCAGAGTACTTTAAGTACTAAACTACCACTGCAGACAACACTGTATTATATGAAACGTGTCTAGTCTCATTGCTGAATGAGGTAAAGGGAAGTCAAAAAATGCTGTACATGACCATGATTGTTTTATAAAACCTAGTAAAAACTGCTATGAAATCGAACATTTATTACGCCGTATATGAGATATTCGGCGATGTATTTCTTGTTTAAACCTTTTTTAAAGATTTAATCATCTAAGTCAGGGATGATCAACATCGAATATTCGACAATGTGGTAAGGAGTTGTGTAAATTTTATTTATTAGACGCAACTAATTGATTATCTACAGTAAACTACATTCAATGAACTGTGAAACACAATAATTAGTCATCTAATAGAACAGCATAAAATTTGATATACGAAATATAAAAGAAGTTAACAATTCAACAATTGCTTGCATGGTTTCACAAGTATCCACATTTAAAAGCAATGATATTTTTTTATCTTTACAATCTTTTCAATGAATAATTACGTAAATAAAATATCTTAACTAGCCACAAACAGGTTCTGAGTAGCAAAGAGTTTATGATGAACACTTGTGATGCATCTTTATAAATTATTAATAGAAGAAATAATATAATTAAAGTAGCACCAACACGATAGAGTTACCTGCAGAATTTTAAGGATATACAGTCACGCTTCAAGAAATCCAAAAGTCTTCCAGGAGTTGCAACTACAAAATGACATCCCTTATTTAATTCAAACATCTGTCGTTCCGGTCGTTCACCACCAAATACACCTACTGATCGAACGAAGGTTTGGTTACATAACTATATAATTGAAAATTATTCTTATAAATAACCGAGAAATAATTACTTTACGTAGTTCTAAATGTATTTGTTGGACTAACTCACGAGTTGGTACCAAAATTACAGATGAGGGATACTGACGTCGTGTACGAGACATGAGCTACATAAGTGAATAAAAAATATAAATGCGTTCAGAAATCCTTTACTGCTGTAGTGAAAGCAAACTATAATTTTATGTACAATAGAGTGCAACATTTTCCAAATATCTAAAAAATAGACGCTTATAGTCAGTTGAACAACGGTGACTGGGGTTTTAATTATTTTTTTTTTAAAGACGAACTTTAAAGAGAATTCTTGTGGGACAGTTAAATCTATGTGCGAAACCCCGTTCAATCTCATTATGACTAGATTTTACACAACAGGAAGTGTGGCTTAAACTCTAGTAAACGAATGAGCTTGGTAAGTAATATGCACGAAATATGAAACTCGACAGAATGGATTCTTACAGAAATTAATAAAAATAGTGGACATTTGTATGCAAGCATGATAATTAGAAACGAAGTAAAACCTTTATTGCAATGAAAATCAAACTGTAAAGCATTAAAGCTGATAAGCGGAAATATATGGAAGACCTAGCAACATCAGCGAAAAAGCTGTAAACGAAAAAAATATCAGATAACTATAACCAAGAAACTAGGAAGCATAGGAAACCAGAGCGACCAATAAAGAGCAAAGATAATTCAATCAGTCAACGGAACTATGGGGCTCATCGCTATACATCAGCTTCCTTGATCACGAAAACGCATTTGACAGCGTGGATAAGAGGACCTTATACAACCTTCTTCAACAGTATGATGTACCTGGGATCGTCAACATCATACGGAATTCTTATGACGCACTACACAACAAAGTCATGCATGGAGGGCAACTCACAGATGCATACCGGGTGGAAGTCAGTGCTAGACAAGGTTGATTATTCTTACCTTTCCTTTTCTTTCACTTGTACTTGTCACTGATTAACATCACAAAACAACTTGTGATGTTAATGTTTATAAAGAAAAATAATGCTGTTCTAAAACTTTAAAATGTCTGATTTTCACCATTTCTCGATAAATAGAATATTTAATACTAAAGCGTTCATTTAATCGCATCCTACATTATTAACAGACGTTTTTAATCAGACGAAACTGAAAACATTTCTTGTTATACTGTTCTTTATTTAAGGCACACATTCTTTAACACTTCAAGACGTACTTGAAACAAAGGCTATATAAAGACGAGCATTCATGTCTCAGTACGTGTCGTAGTTTCTTTTATTACGACCCAGCTACTCTTATTGCTTAGTATTCTTGGACACTGCATCGCTCGGCAAGTACCCAAATCAGAACACGGTTGAACAGGAACGTAATTATATTCCAAATAAAATGGTTGGATGGATGTAGGATTTACAATAAGAAAAACAGTATATATATAATTTTTACATAAGATTATATTCTTCTCTAAGTCTCTGCTAGCGCTAATTGGCTAAGAAATAGCCCCATAATAATTCTGCACGAAATATACTTTAATCAAATCTATATCCTGCTAATAATACGGGAACTTGACAAACAGATATCAACACAGAGTCTGTAACAAGTTTACATTGACCCAAGTTGGGACACTACATTTACACGACGAGATGAAAATAACAAAACAGATAGAAATGGTGTAGTAACAACAACAAACAGAAATACAAAACTTTAGGAATATCCTTTGTAAAGGCTGAGTGGAAAAACATGTTTAGTGGCCTTATATCTGACTCCAGTTGGATCGTTTGCTGATTGCTACCGAAATGTACATGCCGCCAATCCTCGTACGTGATTATCGACTTAAATCGCGTTAATGAATAACGGAATTAAATAAGTCAAATACGAGAATGGATTTCGAATATGTATGTATATTTCACACAATCGTTGATCCAGACAAACGATCAGAGAAACAAATCCGAGATGGCATGTGAGCCAACTCGATTTAACCAAGCGTGACTCAATAATTATAGTCAGACAAAAATAAGTTACAGATACGTGATGAATAGGGTAACCAATACACACACAATCATATAGAAACAGTCAGAGTTAATAAGTGAATAATTAAAAAGGTCAAAATGTAACTCAGGAAGAATGAATAAACTGGCTTGTCTGGAAGCTAGAATAACCTATGTGGGCTTGAAATGGTACTAGACACTACATATACATGAAGAGATACTGGAATTTAAAACCGAGATAAAGATGAAGAGTGAATAAATCTACACTATTGTGGATGATTCCGAGTTACGTCACTCAAACTCTTCAAACAATGATTGCGGTTATCACGTGAACTCCAATCAGATAGTCTGGATTTATCAATATAACTCAGACTAATAGTCAATGACTTCATGGACTAACTGATGCCACGTTTTCATTTGGCCGCCCCTAGCTTTCCTACAGCCTACTTCTGTACTAACAAGTATCACTCAAAGTAGGTGATGGTTAGGCATACTAACACATGTCCTAACCACATCAGTTGACGAAGATCTAATAACTCATCAACTGATTTGCTACATCTGCCAAGTAGCCTATGTCTAACCACAACATTGATTAATCTGTCGTTCCACGATACGCGAACAATGCTTTGAAGACGCTTGTGATCAGAAACCTTCAGCCTACGAATGTTTTCTACTTTCCTTGACCACGTTTAACAACCGAAAAGTAAAACAGAGAGGACTGCTACATAGTATAGTCGGCAGATAGATATCTCACCTACACCACAAGTGACGTTACATAAGCTACGTTTTCGATGAGTTTCACAGAAGTATAAAGATATTATTGATGGTAAATTTGAATGACTACTTTAGTTTACCTGTTATCTTTAGTAAATTTCAAGATTTTTCTCCACTAGTAAAGTGTACCTAGTGCAGCAATGTCGATAAATATATATCTGGTCGGACGATGATTCGGTAAATCGTCCAACTATGTCTGAATACAATAAGACTAAATTTGTCTAGGTATTAATGTAGTTAAACAAAAAATTGGCAGGTGTTGATTGAAGACAAATTTTGAGTACTATTCCACTCCCCTCAAAGACCAGCTTTTATCTGAACGACAGGTAGAATGACAGTTGTTATATAACACATCAAAAATGACTCTCCGATTTTGCGACATTATCTTTTCAACAATCATTTATAAACAATTTTTCTTAAGTGATTACTGTGATTGTAAGAAAATTAACTAGAAATACGAGTTTATGAGCTTGTGTCCTGAAAATATACTTTATTTTATTTTTCGGTACTTTGCATCTAAGATGTTAAATGAAAATACGAAAATGGATCACTTGTAGACGATTGCACACTTGAACATATTTCCTAAAACTCAATAGTGTACTCTGAAAATAGCTGTCAGAAATGGTTTCAAAATGGTTCCAGAAAAGTTCATTTTTGATTTACAACCCTGTAATTTCACGATAGTTGTAAACGCGAAACAGCTTAGTAAACTACTAATTGATTAAAATGGAAACTTTTAATTACGTTCAGTAAAATATGATAATGTAGGAATTAACATTCTGCTTACCAAAGATTGCATCGCTTCAAATGGATAAACTCTCAGCAAACGATTGAAAATTGGAATAAGATAAGCTAGTGTTTTACCCGAACCGGTTTGTGCAGCTGCCATTAAATCGAATTTACCAGTGACACGTTCATAAAGAGGGTTATCATCTGAACTTTGATTGAACTCATCTATTTTAACATCAACCTTCTCATATTCATCAACTGACATAATCCCAATAGCATGTTTTTGAACGGGTGTCAGCTCAAACAAACCCATAGCTTGAAGATTGTTCAATAGTTTTTGATCGACTTTCGGAATTTCATTGATCTGAAAACAATGGGATAAAATTAGAATTACGTTAGCACAAAAAAGAAGTCTCTTAATTTATTTGATGAGGTACAAAAACGTTGAACTTCAGGATATCACTTTAAAGGTCAGGGAGTGTAATAAATCAAGTAATTTTTCATGCTACTTACCTGGTTTTAAGAGGTGATACATACTAGATGCATACCAATAGTGGTAACAGTACTAGGATATTGTCATAAATGTATTACCATGTGCTTTAATGACATACAACTAGTAGGACTATACATAATAATTAAGTAAAAACAAGGTTTCAGACCTGCAAATGGATATATCAACTACATTGACCTTCTGGCAGATTCCCAGACACAGGTATACGTGCCTACACTAAACTGTAATCATATTTCACGACCTGAAAGTGACATGCAACTTCATACCGTCGCTTGTATGTGATGGAGCAATAAAGTGAACAACACTGAGGTTTGACGTAAATAAAGGAAAATGGTTGATGAGACTAAATGCTATCCATACGATGACAGTGGCCGATTGTTGCGTGATGACTTAGAATAATTTGCACAGACGCATTATTCACTCCATTCTTATTAAATGTCTAATGTTATTTTATGCTTTTTATTGCTTGTTTTTTGAACTATATCTCCTATGTTGAGTGTTTTTACTCTTACTGATACTATTATTAACTCAACCTCGTTAGTATTGATCCTGAAAAACAGGGTTTACAACTATCTGAGCCTCAACTCAATGTTGATTTTGGCAGAAGAGAATCGTTAACCAATGCTTAGGACCAGGTTCCACAAACACAGAACAAAAGTGCTCTCATCGAGGTGCTGTAAACCCAAGATTTTGTAAACAGACTAACATTACGACGGCGCCAAAGATGGCCCAGACTGCCATAGGCTGCTCTGGTTTTCAATATTCGTAGACTGGTTTTATCTATCATCCCACCAGCAAAAACTCAAATAAAGGAGCTTTCGTTTATTTCTAACAGCTCACCATAACGAATTGAAATAAAGGCTCCCGTCAGTCTTGGAGAATTACTCTGTATCTAGGAGGATAGTACACGCTATACCTAAGGACAATAATTGATAGATGGTTAAGAAAGTAATTAGTTAGACATGTCACTATGAATGTCGATACGGCATTAGGAAATGATGAGGCAATCGGGTAAGCAATGTTAAACCTAGTTATATATTTTTTATCGACGATAACAAGTCAGTGAAAGACGTTTTGAACTAGCATCAACCGAAGTGTTGGATGTGACATGTGCCGAACCACTTTCCCAAAGCGATATGCTAACTGTCAAAAACAAAAATAAAAGGTCAGTTTGTACCGAGAGCTTGGTTTATACAGTCATAAACTTCTGGTTCTTAATGTGTAGTGCTGGAGAACAAATGGATACTTTAAGTAATACAACTCTAAGCAAACGCAAACGTCACAGATGAACTTGAGAAATCCACCTGGGAATAAGTTCTTCATTTCCCTTCGATTCTAAAGACTTTATTACTTATGCTAAGTTTCTTTTTTCGGCTTATTACACTTGTTTTTTCGACGTTTTGAAACGTAGGAGTGTAAACTAATGGTCTTCTGTGCAAGCCTCGGTTGATCTATTTATTATTCTAGAAAAGGTTGCTTTTTATTATCTGAAAAAATTTAAACAGACCCTTTGCAACATAGAAATTACTTGTCGATTTGTTTGTAGATAAAAAAGTTAATTTGTTACTGAGATGTAAAATATGAGAGTAAGTGACATTTTTGGATGTAGAAATAGGCGTTTGAACTGCAAAACTGTCGAAGTACAGAGAAATGATTGTAACACAAAGCAGTGGATTTGTTCAGTAAATTATGTGAAACTTACGATTAACTTACATTATTAACAATTTCATAAGAAAAGTTCTCTGTCACAGGAAAACCAGATAGGGAGGCATGAGAGGCATATGATAGGTAACTTTTTTCATCCACAGTGGGGTTTTTTTTAACACCGAATATGGATGTTTTCAAATCTTCCCTTTCCGGTCTCAATTTCATCCAGATATGTGGCGGAATATAACCTGGTGGCTGGCTGAAACCACTGCTTCCGGAGTTTTTACCAAACTGATAACTTCTTGATATTTTGGTGAGGGTATGGCGTGATGAATGTAAAGTAATTTTATGCTGACTCAGAATTGCCCTATTCATTTCTGTGATAGTAAAAGTTTTGTTATTTGTCAGTGGACTTAAAATCAGCTAAAATGTACCGAAACAAGTAGTTGTAAATACAAAAAGCAAACTTTTTTCAATATAACTAAATAGATTATTTAAAAACAAATCAAAAAGTAACAAGTAGTATGCAGTAACTCTACCTAGGGACTTTCGAAATTTCTCGCCAATGACAAGAGTTTTATTACGTTCACAAACGAAAGGATTTAAGCATGTATTTTATTATCAGTCATGTAACGGGATATATTCAATAAGGGCTTTGTGGTAAACATCATGGTCGGAACAAACAAACTTTGGATTACTGTGATACATGAGGTCAAAAGGTTACAACGGGACATTATTTTTTTCATAGTATAACTTAGTTGTCTGTTTACCATAAATCCACCTGCAGCTATCCTAGGCCCCCAAATGCCCTGGTACAGCAGAGCGTGGGGAGAGTCAGCTCTCCTCGAAATGCTTTCAGATGGCCATGTGCATGCAACCACTGCCAGAGAAGTCCTACTCACTGCCTTCTCACGGTGGGAGTGCTGTCTACGAAATTGAGAGGACGAAAAGCGAATTTCCGGCGCTCTAACCGGGTTGGTGTACACAAAGGGTTCACCTAGGGGAGTTAAAAAACTGTTTTCAAATCAACGGTACACAAGGGTACCACAGTGTTGAGGCAACAAATGGAGCACCGAACTCGTTTGTTATTGGCTACCATGGAACTGCATCTCTTGACGTTGCTCCACTGCCTTGTCGATCAGGCCTTTAGGTCAAAGGCTCGAAATGTGGTCCCCTATGAAGGCCACCTGCTTTGGTTTGGGCACCCGGGCAGTATTCCAGCGCATATGTATTTGGTGCATTTTTGTACCAATGTTTATGCGTTTAAATAAATAAATGAATAATATACCAGGGTTACTGCAGGTCACGGGTCCGAGTAAAGGAGAGATGGGGATGGGATCGGCAACATCACATCACGTTGAAAACAACCTTGCCAAAAATGCTAACCAGAATAAACAAGTTAAACCATTTAAACTCTACCCTCCAATTTGAAGGATCTTCTCTCAGAAGAATTATAACACTTCATAGTGAGTGCCAAGATTCTTCCAAAGTCACGAGACCCATGCCTCTTCTAACAAACACATCAATAATTAATATAGGTACATAGAATCCCCAGACAATGTGAGAGACTGGGAGAACTAACCAAATAGCTACAGAAATGAGGAGATACAACTTGGAGGTGCTCGAATTAAGCGAAACATATTGGATCCAAGCTGGACAGATAAGATTAGATTCGGAGGAGATGCTGCTGTACTCTGGTCACGAAGACGCAAATGCTTCACACATGAAGGGAGTTGATCTGATGCTGTCCAAAGAAGCATGAAAAGCACTTGCTGAATGAAAATCTCATGGAACCAGAATCATCAAATCATCATTCAAAACAAAGAAGAAGGGAATCACAATGAATGTTATCCAATGTCATGCACCCACCAATGATTGCAACGACAACGCTAAAAGTTGGTTTTATGAGAGAGTGCAATCGATCGTGGATATGTGACCAGGAAAGGACCTGACCATTCTGATGGGAGACCTAAACGCCAAGGTTGGAGTGGACTAAGACTGGTCACACCAGTAAGACTCAACACTAACAAGGGAAAAAACAACAAGGTCTTCACATGTCCCACAGTCAGCGCCAATCAATTCACACTCGATGGAGAAGCTCTGGAAGAGGCGGAAGCCTGTAAGCACCTGGGAAGTATAGTTGACAAACAAGGAGGGTGTAATGCAGGTATGAAGACACGGATTGGCAAAACAACGACACCATTCCTACAGGTGAAGAACATCTGGAACCCAAAACAACTATCAGCCAATATCAAAATCCTCAATACGAACGTCGAGGCAGTTCTGCTGTACGGGGCTGAAACTTGTATAGCAACTACACAGCCATCATCAAAATGGTACAGGTATTTACCAATAGCTGTCTATGCAAGATACTCCAGATCTGTTGGCCAGACACCATCAGTATTCTGGTATAGAAGAGACCAGCTTATAGCTGAGGAAGAAATTAGATGCTGGAGACGGATAGATCACACTCCTGCTTCGGTTTGGGCACCCGGGCAGTATCACAGCCCTCACACTTATCAAATGAGATCTGTGTGGCGCATATGTATTTGGTGCCTTCTTGTACCAATATCTATGTGTTGAAATAAAAAAATAAAATAGATCACACTACGGACATCATCAAACTGAATCACAAGTCAAGCTGTAACTTGGAACCTTCAAGGTAAAAGGACAGGATGCAGACATTAGAAGGATGAACAGCAACTAGAAAGAAATTAAAAGGACTGTCCAGGACAGAGTTCGATAAAGAATCCTGATGGGTGCCCTGTGCTCCTTCAAGAAAGATAACAGGTGCAAGTCTGTTTAATATAATTGTTCATGTACCCTGTTCAAATTTAGAACGAATATGTGGCACTATGCAACGACCAACTTATACGCTAGAGAATTGTGGAGATTTCTTGGTCCTTAAACGTGTTCTTTTTCTATAAATTTTTGGTGAATTACAGTATGCAAACGTCAATTAATATTATCCATACACAAGTTTTACATTCAGAGAAAGGAGCATTCTATGATACGAGCCGGAATTAGACATTTGAAATGACACGACCATAAATCAGAGGGTCACAGATTAATAGTACTAGTTTCGTCTTAAGACTTATTCATTCCATAAAATGGTACTACGACTCAGCTCTTTCCCTTGTAAGTACGTCGCCAATACATCTTTGCAAACAAGTGTTATCTTCAGTCCTTGATAGGTTTTTGACTAGCCTGAGGGTACGTATTGAGATTGGACAATGTGAGGAGCCCCAAGCTCCCAATTTTGGGGAAATCCCCAAAGTTAAACAGCCTTCCCCAAAGTTTGGGGAAATACCCATAATTTTGTGGAAATTTAGGGGAAGAAATCCCCAAGGTCTGGGGAAATTTTGGGTTAATCCCCAAAGGTTGGGAAAATTTTGGGGTTTTTGTGCCATTTCCCCAAAGTTTATAATGGCGGCTTCCCCAAAATAGGTAAAATTCTCCCCAAAATTGGGAGCTTGGGGCAGTATGAGAATCTGGATGAGAGGACATGAAGAAAAGTAAGCCAAAAAGACTCAGTAGGTACATAGAATGCACTTACGTCTAGCAATGGAAGCAATCAAAAACAATTAAAAATGATAAAAGCGTGATAATCAGACAATCTGATAATCAAAGGTAGAAGTTGGTAGCGTCAACTGCACCCTGACTTCTCGAAACCCCCTCCCCACAACTCTGTTACGGCTTCAAATGACAAACTATGTTTGGTTGAGTCAGTGTACTATTTGTTACTTGGGATCTGAGTCTGAATAGTAAGAGAGCATTTCTGGTTATAGAAACGTACCGTCTACGCTATGCTCAGTTTCAAACTGAAGGGTAACACAAGTCAGTAATTTGTATCAGAAGTAATCATAAGGTAATATTTGAGTCAATTAACTTCAGGGTTTACAGAGTTTAGGTAAACATCGAGCTCTTTTGAAAAACTCTGAAGGATGTGTCTTTACGATCGTCTTTGGTAAGGAGCCCATATCTTTGTTATTCTGACCAAGAGAAAGTTTGCACGAAATTTTATGAGAAATCTGTAGCGGTAAATAAGTCCCCAAAACAAAGAATTCTGTCAGTCTTCGACATTAATGCGACCGCATTAGTTTTACTAGAACCACTTCATTTCTGACTTGACCGGGTTTGGTGTACTCCGATCATGATGGTGTCAGGTGTAGAGGCGTTGTCAAACTCCAAACACCTGTGGCATTTTTAGTTAGTTCGTGTTATTTCTTAAATCAGGCTAATGTGATGTTCACGGTGTTCGATACTGATGCACAAACTTTCTATTTTTAAGCCCTGAGCTAGCTAAGTGGGACGACTAAGAGTGAAGAATAAGGTTTATTGGGCTTAACTGACTCAATTGCGTAACCAATTTTAAAAATATTGTAGCGGTAAATAAATCCAATAAATAAATAGCTCTGTAAGTTTCGGCATTGGATGCTGACCACAGTTTTAATGGACTCATCTAGCTGAAGGCGCTCGGTCAAGCATCCGCACCAGATCACGTGTGGGAACACTGTGCTCAACATTTGTCACAATCGCTGGCCAGATTAGTTCAAACGATCCTCGATATAATGATAGCTTATCAAATATATCTTCGATCTCATCGCTTCTGCCTTTTGATTTCACTTGGTGGGCACCATTCATATTAAAAGGTGTTACTGGTTAGAGCGTTGTCAAACTCCGAATACCTGTGGCATTTTCATTGGTGAGCCCGACGTGATCTGGTACACCAAATTGCAAACTGTGTCTGTTCCTTTTTGGGATTTTATATATTGCTGCCTTATTTTACTTTTTTATACATTGTGGTATTTTTTCCGTGTTTTTGATATATGTATATATATATATATATACATATTTCTCACTCGTTCATTCTCGTACTTGATATTTCACCACGACTGAACAGACACCCAAGGTACTTGAGTTAACGACTATGTCCCCACCTTCTTTCCAATTTATGCCTTTCTGGCCAGACTACATCAAAGCCTGGTTTTACTACGCAGAAGCCGACTTCTACGAGTACGGTGTAAACGACACACTTGCACAATTCCTCGCAGTAGTCAAGAAACTACCGCCCGAATTCATCAGGTACGTAACACCTAGTATGTTTGCTAGTGATGTTTCTGAACCATACGAAACCCTTGAACGATTAATCCTTAAACGCGTAGATCTAACCGATCGACAAAAGTCAGACCAACTCCTTAATTGCATCGACTCGCAACACGGTTCTGCCATAGTCATTGTAACGGAAAGAGAACGATGAAAATCCCTCCACAGCCTTTTTTGGGCAGGAGGTTAGAAATGAGAGTCCATATATCGCTTTGTAGATAAATATTAAATTATTCTTTACCCTACGGTGCCATAAAGGTTCTAAAGAA